TCATGTAAATTAGCTAAGACTGGAAGCCAAGGAAGCCAGGAGGCAGAGATGAGGAGGAAGAGCATTCCAGGCATGGGGTGTGGTCAGTGAAAATGCCCAGAGCTAAGAAATGCAGTGATTCAGATTTCATATTATAGAATGGACTATCCCTTGATTTAAACCCTTCTACAGTTTTCTCTATACTCAAGAAACTATGTCCCATCATGGGATTTAAAGATGGAAGGGACCTCAAAGGTCCCTAGTCCAACTAGTGGGCTAAAAAGGCTCACCCAAGGAGCTGACATCCTGGAGGAGAGGCACTCCACTCCCTCCCACAGAGACTGTTTTCCTACTCCCCAACCCCCCAGGCTTCTAAAGGGCAACTGCCCCAAGTCCACGCTCCACAGTATCCCATCACCCATCACCATAGTGGCCTTCTGAAGGACTCCCCTTATTTCCCATCCCTGTGGGGATGAGGTCTGGTCTGCTCCTTTTCCTGGAAGAACTACATCTGGGTCAGGCTGACATTTATGTTGCCACTGCCATGCCCTGCCCCAAATATTTTTAACTGTAGGTTAAAATACTACTAGTCACCCCTCAGAATCCAAATCCTTTATTTTACAGAAGAGAAAACTGAGAGCAAAAGAGGTGAAGTGGACCACTGTTAGTGAGTGGAAAAGCCAGGATGTGAACCCAAATGTTCTGTCTTCTCCTTCATCCTAGAGAAATCTTTACTTGCTCCAGTTATCTCGGGCTCTGCTTTACCAAACTTTCTGACCCTACCACTTGGCTGAAATGACTCTCTCCTAGGTCACCAGTGATCTCTTAGCTGCTAAATCCAATGATTTTTCTTCATTTCTCATCTTCCTTGAACTTTCTGTAGCCTTCCATTCAATTCAATTCAACAAACTTTGATTGTTTCTCTATCCCTTCCATTGTACCCTCAAAGGATCCCTGTTCTGTTATTAATAAACTGCCAGTTATGTTATCATATAAAGAAAACCTGAAGTTTACAACTTCAGGTACAAGTCAGTAAAAGACTTTAATTTACCCATCGTTATGAGTTGAGACAGACAGAACTATCCATTGACACAAAAAGAAGGAAATTTCTTTGGGCAACTGGATTTCTGAATTTGAGCCATTTACCATAGGTATGTAGAAAACTACAGATGCTCAAAAAAACCATATAGTCATTCCGAGTTCACAGCCAGTCACCACTGGGCTTGGAGGTAGTTTATTGTGTTCCTGGGGAGCAGACAGAAATTTCCCAATATTCTAAGTCTGTTGTTGGCCACAGTTCCTGAAACAAAGATGACTCTTTGTGCTTTGGCTGCTAGAGCATAAGAATTGGGGTAAAGGATGATAAAATAGGGGTTGTATGTGCCTGCCTGTTTATATGAGAATGAGGGCTTATTCTAGTATAGCATTATTCATGTTAAGAAAGGGAAAATGCAAGCCTCCCTGCTCTATGCCACAAGAATTCTCCATTTTGAAGCTTTCTGAGCTTCATCCAACGGTTTCCATCTTTATAGCTCTATATATGCACCATCAGCATTTGAAGAGCAGGAATTAGGGGGAATGGTTTCATGGTGTTACCATCTTTGAGATGTTGGAGAGCTCTGATTATGTACTTGGAGAGATAGAGGAAAGTAGAAAAGCAAAAAGGCAAAATGGGAATTGGATTGGTAGGAAGGAGACCCAAGGAGACATGCCTAGATCAGGAGATCCAGAGAACAGGACTCAATTTGAGTTTTTGGTTGCCAGATGGCATAGGAGTAGAGGATTCAGATGGTGTGAAGGCCATGGTGTAGTGCTATAGGATAAGAAGCATCCTTTTCTGAGAGTGTATGTGAAGGTAACATGCAAAATGGAGGAGAAAGGGGTGGCAAGGATCTTCATGAAGTCATTCCTTTGCCCTGTGATTTATAGGTCTATGTCTGGTGCTCTGATGGCAAGTAGCAATACTGCTAGGTAACAGAACCTGAGATGGACACTTCCAGGAGATTAAGAGGTGCTTTTCTCACTGATGGACCCAATCTTTTGATTAGAAGTTGTGATAGGGGGTGCCAGGTGATCCTGGAGCAACATTTGGTACAATATTATAATTGTGTCTGCTTAGAAATTTGCTTTGCATACATTTGCATTTAATTTTCAGTGTAAATGTTATTTTCCCCCAACAGAATTGAGGCTCTTTGAGGGCAGAGATGGTTTTATTTCTGGTCTCTGTAGCTCCATGACCTAACAGTCTAGTTCCTAGCAGATGCCTTATAAACACTTCTCAAATATAATTGCATTACTGTAATTGCACATTCCATTTTGTTGTTATAATTTCTTCTAATTTGATATTTATTTTGACCTTTGCTCTAACCAGTTGATCATTCATCTGCACAGAGCCAGCTGATTTTAATGATTGCCCTATCTGTAGACAGTTATTTCCTGCCCATTCATTTTTGTCCTCTTCATTTTTTTTTTTTGCTATTATTCAGTGCTTCTCATGTCCAGTGCTTCCTGACTCTTCCTGAGGAAGGCATTCACAGTGAACATGTGTGAGGCTTCTGAGTCTCCTTCAAGATGACTGTCTTCTTTTATCTGACCCCAAGGTTAACACTACCAGAAGGAGAAGGAGGTGGGTGCTCCATTAAACTGCACTGCTCAAGACTACGCTGATAATGAAAGCACATCATCTTGGATAGAACACCCATTTCAAAACAAGCCACTGTCTCTCTGACTTTTATAGCTTCTCTGTATAATCTTTTATTCTTCATGTAACCTGTATTGACTCCCCTAATTTGGCAACTACTGCTGCATTTGTTTCTTACTGAAGGTACTCCAGTGAACCATAGGCAACTTGGCTTTGGGAATAAAGCCATTCCTGCAGATAGGAAGAACTGAGATCAAATCCTGATTCAGACATTTACTAGCTCTATGACCCTGAGCAAATCACCTTACCTTTCTCAGCCCTGGTTTCCCTCATCTATAGAATGTGGCTAATTATATCATTTACCTTACAGGATTGTTCTGAAGATCAATTAAGATAATATACGAGAAGCCTCTGCAAACTTTAAAGGACTAGACCACACCCTCTTTTTCTCTAAAGGGTTCTTCCTTCTGGCTAGCAATTAAGGATTTTCCTTAATTGCTAGCAGATATCAGCCCTATTCCCCTAGATGTTTGCTCATCACATTATTCTGGACAAGTCACCCAACCCTGAATTCACTTTATTTTCCTCATCTGTAAAATAGAGAAGGTAATAGCATCTATATCACCAGGTTGTGAGGATCAAATGAGAAAATGTATGTACGCCTTTATAAACTTTAAAGGAATATAATACACACATAAATGTCTACCCACACACATAACTATATATACATATAGGTCTATACACACATATATAAGCATACACATATATCTATCTGAATACATAAACACATATATGTACATATACACAGCTATATGCATAGGTATTACTTTCAGAGATATCTCAGGTTCCACCTACAGTTCTTCCCTCAGGTCCTCTGGATTTCTTTTAATTACCTTCTGGTTTTAGTCCCCTTCCTCCAGGACTAAGTATTCCAAAGTATTTTTCTTTAAGAGATCCAATCTAATTCTCTACCCTACCCAAGCTCCCCACAATGGCCAACACTTGTTACCCTGGAAAGCCTCCAATAACAAATGAAGCAGTTTCCCAGAACTAGCTCTGTTCTGGGATGTGTTTACTGTCATCTAAATGGCGCAAATGGCTTCAGAAACAGGTGGAGTGAGTTGCCCTTCTTGGCAGTGCAGGGAAGTTCCCTCAAATCTTTCCCAAAGATCAACAAGTCAATCTCCCAGGGGTTCTGGGTGAATACAAATTGGTCATCCCCACCTCTGGGAACAAGCCTGGCTCCAAACTTGGGAGGTCCTGTGGTACAATCAGAAGAGTCCGGGATTTGAAATCCAAGAAGCTCTTTTTAAAAAATAAGCATTTATTAAGTGCCTACTATTTTCCAGGCACCAGCACTATGCTAAGCATCTTATAAATAATACCTCATTTTATCCTCTCAACTATCTTGGGAGGTAGGTGCTATTATTATTTTCATTTTACAGATGAAGTAACTGAGACAGACAGCAGTTAAGTGACTTTCAGCTCAGAGTCACACAGCCAACATTGCCACCTACTACTTGCATGAACTTGGACAAGTCAAATGTTTTTCCTTTGTTGATTATCTCCAAATTATTCTGTAGATATCTCATTTGTACATTTGTTTGTATTTTGCTTCCTCTGTTAGATTGTGAGCTCTTTGAGAACGCAGACTAGGTTGGGTTTTTTTTCTCCTTTCTTTGTATCCCCAGCATAATGAGGCAGCTAGGTGGCTCAGTGGATAGAGCCCTGGCTCTGGAGTCAGACCTAGGTTCAAATCCAGCCACAGATTTTTGTGACCCCAGGCAAGTCACTTAACCTCTGTTTACCTTAATCCACTGGAAAAGGAAATGGCAAACCATTCCAGCATCATTTGCCAAGAAAACCCCATGAACAGTTTTGGCATGCATGGTCCATGAGGTCACAAAGAGTTGGACATGATTAAACAACAACAACAACTTGGCATGATGTCTGGTAAACAGTTTCCACATCTGTAATATGATAAGATTGGACAGGATGAACTTATGAATGTCTACTTGTTCACATCCTGCTTGGTAGGACAAGTTGTTTGCTGGGCTATTCCCTATTTTACAGCTCATAAGAAATAGGTAGAGAAATTTCTCCCTAAGCTTCAGGAAATACTCAAATGCTTGAACCCCACCTTCTCTCAATTAATCTACAAATACCAACTTCTAGAGTCACTGGCTTCTACTGGAACAAGGAACCACGATAGAATATGATGCTATATTCTCTTGTCAGACCCAGTGTCAGGATATGGCATAGAATACTCTTATTTTGGTAAATCACTTTGTTGAGAACTACCTACAGTGAATTAACCCATGTGTAGATAGTCAACAAACTTCCCAAGTTCGTCCAACAACGTTGCTACATTGAGTCCTACCTGTGATTGTGATTGATGTCATAGGGATTCCTCTGCCCATCTCCTGGTTAGCTCTCCATTAGCTTAACATGTGACAGAGAACAGTCTCTACCATTCTGATGGTACCAGGCCTTGCCCATCCTTGCTGGAAAGATTCTGAGTATCTATGGATCAATCTACTTGTAGTTGTGAGTAAGGGTTCATGAAGTCACTCATTCCTCACTCTTTTCTAGATCAACCAATCTCATAGCTTCCACTATGATCTTACTGCCTCCAACCCTAAATACCATACTTTTAAACTATAGGAAACTAGGACATAGACAGAAAAGAAAGGGGCCAAGCATCTCCAGACCAATGTCAAACAAGCAGGTTAACATTGTTTAGCAAACTCAACATCACTGCCACATTCCAGTGGCAAACTACAACTAAAATGCTGTCATGGAAACCATGATTTAGACAATGGATGGAACAGCCACTGTGATAGGTCCTCCTGAAGACCATGCTTCAATCATCTAGTGACCAGTCTTCTGAGAAAGTCTTTTCCTGTCAAACAGTCCCTTGTTAATGGATGTAACATAAAAGTAAGTCTTGTTCCTTCAATCCCTCTATCTTATCCCAATAAGCACAGATCCAGAGAAAGAACTGATAAATCGAAGCATGTTTGGAACAATTTTATATACATATGTATAGATATAGATATAAATACAGATATATACATACATACACACACATTTGTATCTAATGGTAGTCATCTCTAGGGCAAGGGAGGAGAGGAAGGAAGAAAAAAAGAGAAAAAAGAAAGTTACATGGTAATTTTATTATATATTTAAAAGGAATAGCAAGTTGTACATAATAGATTTGCAGTTTCATGTACAATCATCTTTTTTATTCTACTATGTAATGGAAATGCTTGTATTATTTCACAAATTAAAAATAAAATTAAAAATGTAGTGAGAGAAACTAAAGGAACTAAGGAAAGGGAGTGAAAAGGACATCTGTCATTAGAACATTGTTATTAGAGTTAATAACTTCCTGAAAGATTTAGCATGTTTTCTTAAGTTGTCTGTCACTTCTCTTGCCATGAGTGTGTCATCTGCTGAGGGTTTAGGAGGCTGTTGTTCTAATGCTATAGTTCACAAGCCCCCACCAGTGTGTTCCCTCTACCACTATCAGTGATATCAATTAGTCAGCTAGAGTCAATTAGCTTTTAAAAATTAGTGTATTCTCAGGTCATGTATTAAAAACAGTTGGAAACAAAACCCACTGTCCCACTAGGACCTACAGAATCTAGTGTGCTTATGTTTCTTTTTTCTTTTTCATCTGAAATGAAGCTTTACTGAGAAATCTGCCACACAGAATAAAACATTATTTTTCTTTCTTAAATTGGAGGCCAATGATTACAATGGTAATACAATACTAATAGCTGATAAGCATATAAAAAAGCTTTGCATATGTGCATGAGACAACATAAAGAGCAAGCAGCTGACATTTAAATTACAATGTCTTAGACTGATGTGCTTATGTTTCGAAAGCACGGGTGGAAAAGTGGTAACTGATAGCTTCTGAAAATCCTTTTGCTAGAGTCTTCAAGATGGTCCCTTTACGTGTGGTGTAGCCGCATCATGCTTTCTCAGGAGCACTTTGTAGAACCTTCAATCTGACTTTCCTCATCGAGTCCAGTCTGTTTTAAAATTACGATGCAGACACTGACACCAGCCAATGCTGTCCTGGAGATGATGCTAGGACATGGATGGGAAGCTGGAAAGTCTAAAATCCTTCAGAGCTCTCAAAGTTCTCTTCCAGCCAACAGAGGCCATGTACAAGCGACTGAGTCAACTGTCTCTTCCACCCAAAAGCAATTCCTTGCCAAGGGGTTGGTTGGAACAATTCCCACCACTAAGCTGCTGTATCCTCAATGATTTTAAAACCACTAAGCTACTTCATTCTCAGTGATTTCATGCTGGCCACAGAAGGCAGGACCAAGACCCTCAGCCAATCTCTTCCTGTTTCACTTAGGGAGGCATCCAGGCATCGTTCACACCTGGTGAACTAGAGGTGTGTTCTTACCTGATAAATCTATCAGGACTAAGTGGGGTAGATTGAATTTGAGCCCTACTCATTTTACCATGGGCTGACTCAAGCTATCCAGCTAGTCACCATCTTCAGCTTTGTCACTGATCAATTCTTTAGTCTCTGCTCTGCTTGCTATGGGACTTTTCTGATTTGCCACTCCCTGTAAGGAATTAGGACAACTGAACTCTGCTTTTCTCTTCTCTTTATCCTTTTGACTTTGTCATATCCAACCTCCCCCAAACTAATATCTGGCTGTGCAAATGACCCTGAACCTTCACCATGCCTTTGGAAAACACCAGTAATGCTGGTTAGGGAGATAATGAGCTGGTGGTCCCTGCCATCATTTCTGCCACTATAGCAGAGTAATCTTTTTCTATTCAAAGTGAGGTGCATCACCCTGACTTTGGGCATGACCTCAGTTTCATGATAGGACAATGAGGAATAGATTTTAAGCAGGTGGGGGTCTCACAATTAGCCCGGATGAAAAAAAAATGCCCCCTCTCCACCCATGCATAGGATCAGCTCTGCCCATGGATTTATTAAAAGCTTACTTTCATTTATTTATAGATTTACCCATTCATTCATTCTTTTGTTTGTTTATAGTAGTGTGTTATGCCTGTCTTATAGCTGGTTTAGGCTGTGGAGGGACACAGGTGTAGAGAAATGACAGGGAATAAACAGAATTGGTGTTAAAAGGAAATGGGGAGGGGTGGTAATCCTTCCTCTTCATCTCTGAAGAATTATAGCCGGTGGTCTGAATCTTCCCTGAGACGAAGAAGCATTCACCTAGCTGTACCTGACCTGCCGCTCAGAGGGAATCTGACTATTAAAGGTTTGTCTGAGCTTGTGGTTATCTTGAGAGCCTGACATACTGATCATTAAGCCAGTGTTGAGTAGCAGCTGAGTGTTACCATGGCAACAGGCACAGAGCTCTCCAGTCAGCTTGGGAACAGAAGCATTTTTATTATGGGTCATTAAGGGTAAAGAGCCTCATTTAAATGATTTCCTTTAAAGTCCTGTCATTTCAGGTAAACGCTTCACCCCCCACCTAGGGGGCTGTTTCTGAAATGGCTGTCGGTGTTCTTTCGGTTTTGTTTTTTAAGAAAGGCGGGGGAGAAACTGGCAATTGATTTCCGTTGAACTGGGAGTCCTGGTGTTCTGTAGCCGGAGAACAGCATTTTAGCATCAGGATGTAGGCTGAAGAGACATTGCGTTTTTGCTGTTTCTGTTGTTGTTTTGGGCTGCTCAACAGAGAATTTTGACTCAGAAAATAGAATTTTTGCCTAAGCTTGAATCAATGAACATGATTCCTTGGGAGCTTGAGGGGCATGTGCATCAGCACTTAGTCTAAGTGACCCTTCATTCTTAATAGCCTACCTGAATCTCAGTCTCAACTCTGTCCAAACCTGCTTTTTCCCAGTTGTGGCAGCCTCTCTACCAGGGTGTAACTTACCAGGACCACAGACCTAGAGAGGAAGATTGGAGTCTAGTCTAACCCCTTCATTTTACAGATGAGGAAACAGGCTCAGAGAGTAACTTTCCCAAGGTCATATAGGTAGTAAATTGACCGAATCCTCTGACTCCAAACCTAGTGTTCTTCCAAGTGTACCAAAACTGCTAAATCAACAATATGGTGATAGACTAGGCTAGTGGAGGTAAAGAGAGGGGTGGGATGGAGAGAGGAGAGGGGCATTCTCAGGACTCCTATTTTCTCTTACGTAGGTATATGGTGAAGACAGTGTGGTATAACAGGCACAAAGCATTGATCTGGGGATCAGGAAGCCTAGTTTTGAGTCCTAACTCTGTCAATTGACATTTGTGTGTGGCCAAGTCATTTTACTTCTCATTCTTGATTTCTTCACCTGTGAAGCAGGGATAACCTTACCTATGATACAAATTTGAACGTGGACTCTGATCCTCAAGTGGCAGATCAAATATCTTTCATCCCTGCCCTCTTTCTAGCCCTGTAGACTTCTCTGGGGCTGTTGGCATGATCAATATCTCTAGATTTGCCGGTGGTCCTGACTTTTGTCTTGCCATGGGATTCGATGGCTCTGGAAGACAGAGTGAGGCTGACAACTTTGTGCAGCTCACTCAAATTCAGTTCCTGCACAAGTCATCACACTCTTCATGTCAATGGTCTTCTTCAAGAAGAATGAACAACCAAACAAAAATCTCTAGACTAAGGGTCTAACCTGAAGACCGTGGATCTCTAGTGGATCTGTAGATAGATTTCAGGGAGTGGGAGAACTTGGATGGAAAATACATATATATTTTATAATATTATAATAATATCATATATTATATATTTATAATATATTATACATTATATAATATTATATATTATATATATTATTTCAATATATTGGGTTTCTCTTATAATCCTATGCACTCTGTTTTATTTTTAGAAGATTATTCCGAGGCAATAGACTTTCCCTTATTACTAAAGAAAGCCATGACACACACAAAAAAGATTGAGCTTCCTGCTCCATACCACATCTCGCCCTGCACTACCTTAGTAATCACTCTTTGTTCCATCTGGTACTTGATATACCTTAGGAGAACACTGGTTTCCTTTCTACATAACATTCCACGTGTGCACTTGACCTTGGGCACTGGAAAGGTACTATCAGGTCCTCATTAATTAGAACTTGCCTGCTGTTCCCTACCCTAAAAGGACTTGTGAATAGTCAAACTCTCATGGTCACATGTTCATCCAGTCACTAGGGGACTTGGAATCATTAGGGAAGTCCCCATCTTGTGTTTACTTTTTCTCATAATTCAGTCAAGTCAAATTTTCTGGTGTTTAGGATATGTTCAGCGTCTTCCAGTTCTGGTAAATATTTGCAAGAAGCACCTAACAAAAAGTAGGCTCTTAGTATTTGTCCATTTAAATTGAACTGAACTGAATCGGTCAGCAAGCATTTTTATGATTTTACTAGATTTAGAAACTTTCTGCCAAGAACCTTAAGGTTGCCCCCGTCAGTTTTAGGTGCTCAGCAGGTCCTCACAGACTTCCACACCAGAACACAGGGCAAAGGAAGAAGTGGCTGCTAGGTCCACTCGGATAACTTAGGATCTGGGGGGAGGGGAGGAGAATGAAATTTAGTGTGCTTTCCTTTGGTTCACTAAGAAAAAAAAAAGAGTTCCACAGAAAGAAAAAGTGGATCTAAATCTTGTCACAATTGTAAAGTACTTAACACAGTGCCTGGCACATAGTAAAAACTATACAAATGTTAGCTACTATTATGGGATGGGGGAGGGAAGAAAAAAAATGGGAAAAAAAAGACCTTTACATGATAACTTTATTATACATTTAAAAGGAATAGCAAGTTGTATGTGATAGATTTGCAATTTCATGTGCAATCATCATTTTTATACTATGTTATGGAAGTGCTTGTTTATTTATTAATTAAAAACAAAATAATTTTTTTCAAAGAACACATATGCAATGAGGGCTGTCTCAGGGAGCATGCTCAGAGCATGCTCTTCCTGATTTTTGACACAAAGGTGGGAACTTTGGAGCTTGCTTCTGATGGTGTGTGACTTGTTTTTTGAGATGACAAAGAATCCCCTTATTTGTTGCAGATCAGGAAGAACCGATGTTTTAGTGGGTGTTTAAAAAGGAGTATCTCCACACTCAGCTCCCTCTTTCCTTTCTACTGCCTAAGGTGAGCTTGTATATTCAAGAGATTTGAAGATAACTTGTCTATTCGGATAGGAGTTAACTGAAAGCAAGGGGAGGAATCCCTAACTAGCCTACTCCAGCCTCTTGAACAATACAATCACGAACCAGAGGACTGCCCCTAGTCTTGCCCTTTTACTGGAAGAACCGCCAAGAGTGGTTTGGACAGCACGGAAGTGAGGTGAAATGTAAAACGACTAATCATTGGTCCTGCAAACTACTTTATGTTCTGATTCAGCTTAAGTAATAAAATAAATTTTAAAAATAAAATAAATAACAGACCTTAAAAAAGTATCAGCCTCCTCAGAAAGTATAATGATCATTATAAGACACACATTTGCACTGTGGGTCTTTTATCACCATCAGCATTTCTTTCTTGTGTGGGAAATAAATACCTGTCCCATAATTGATTTAAATTACAATTCCTTTTTACTTCCCACTTTTGGAGAGAATGCGAATCACAGCCTAAGCTTTAAATAACTTATCTCAAGTTAGTGTAACATGAGAGCTTAATGAGTTGAAACATGAGAAAAGGGAGGCTGGCCTCATCTTTCAGGATCCTCTAGAACTGAACTTGGTATAGACTGTGTGCCAAGGTCCAGAGTAGAGGGGCCTCTTAGTGAAGAATGGAATAGCCACACTGTCCCAGTCCCTCGTAATCAACAGCAATTCTTGATGTTAGACATAAGCACACTCAATTCTGGCACATCAGTAATGATCCCTCCTACATGGGATACACATGTGATACATATTACTCAACAGCCCAACATCACCAGGCTCTCTGGGGCATCAGCCGAGTTTGCTTTTCCTCTCGATTCTCAGGGTAGCTTGCCTTAAACTCTACCACTCAGTATATGAGATCATCTTCTATCAGTCATTCTCAACATTTTTTGTTGTTGTTTAAAGAACCTTTTGGGCAGTCTGGTGAAGCCTATGGATTCAGTAACAGAATAATGTTAAGAAATATCATATTTATTTTTAAAATTTCCAATTTTTAAACCAGAAAAATTATTTTTCTCCCTCCCCCACCCCCTGAAAAAAACAAAAACAAAATCAAAATCATTGTAATAACTATGTAGAGTCAAACAAAAGAAATACCTGCATTGGTCACGTCTAAAAATATGTTTCATTCTGCACTCTGAATATATCCCCTTTCTGTCAGGAAATGAGAAAAATATTGTATGATCATTCCTCTGGAATTATATTGTTCATTGAGTTGATCAGAGACCTTGCATATTTCAAAATTGTTTGTATTTATGATGTAATTATTATATATACATCTTTCTCTTGGTTCTGCTTACTTCACTCTGCATCATGCAAGTTTTTACCAGCTTTCTCTGAAACCATCATCATCAAAATTTCTTAAAGCACAGTGGCTTTCTGTTATACTCATATATCATAATTTGCTCCATCATTTCTCAATTGGTGGGTTCCCTCTTGGTTTCTAGTTCTTTGTACACCACAAAAAAGTGCTGCTATAAATACTTTTTTTTGGGGGGTGCTATGCAGTAGGGTTAAGTGACTTGCCCCAGGGTCACATGCTAGCAAGTGTTATGTGTCTGAGGTCAAATTTGAGCTCAGTTCCTCCTGAATCCAGGGCCAGTGCTCTATCCACTGTGCCACCTAGCTGCCCCTGCTATAAATACTTTTGTCCATATGAGTCTTTTTCCTCTTTGATTTCCTAGGAAGTATAGACCTAGTAATGGTATCTCTGGAGCAAAGGGTATGCATGACTTAGTAACTTTTGGAAACACAGGTCTAAATTGCTTTCCAAAATGGATTTACCAACAGTGCTTTCAGTAGAGTGTCTATAAATGTTTAATAACTGGCTCTCTGAGGGAGGAAATGTGCACATAGCCCATTTTAAAGTTTAATCTGCGTTATTAATATTTTTTTCCCTGACACAAATCAATGGAATAGATTAGTTTAACCTTGATGCAATGTAGGTACCCAGTGTTCTGGGAGTTTCTCCCAGCATCAGGTTTTGGTTTCACTTTTTCACAGTCCAAAGTCCGCTCACCGTTCTCCAGCTCTCTTCTCTTGACATCAGATGTGTGCATTTAATTGCTTCTCTTTCCTTTTAATACCAGGTAAGTCTAAGATTTTCCTCCACGGGATAGAACCTTCCTGGATATCAAAGATTCAAATTGGGGAGGGGTACATAGTTTGTTGAGCTCCAGGGCTATTTCTCAATCTTCATATTCAAACATGTTTTAAATCCCCCCTCCCCTAGCCCTCTTGGTTTTTCCATCAATCACATACATAGGGCACATTTCTGGACTATAATCAGCACCTGGAGTCTCTGAAAGGACAGAGAGTACTAGAGAGATTAGGATAATCTGATGAAATCTCTCAGCACCACTTCCTAGCTGGAACAAGCAGGGTCAGATATAGCCTTAAGATATCCTGATGTGTAAACTAATACGTTGGGATTTCTTTAGCATCATGCAACGCTAGGCAATAAGCCTTCAGCCCTCATACAGGGGGAAGAGAAAACAGCCCTTATGACAGCTAGTTTGTTTACTCTGCAAAATGACTGAGAATTAAGTTAGGTGGGGGCCTGATAAATGAGGTTGTCCTCCTTCTCCCTGTGACATGTCACACGGTGTTATGTCTGTATGTATAACCTGGGGAGGGTTAGTGTCCATCAGCTTAAACTGGGTTTTTTGGGAGCAGAGGAGTACTCTTTAAATGTCACAGGTTACCTCTAGCTAAAGGAGAGTGTTTGGCACGTGAATAGTTTCTTTAAAAGGATTTCAGTCAAGGAGGTACTTTATTTTGGAAGAGATTGATTCTTTGGCCTCCATCAATGACTATATGGCTAATTATAATTGAAAGGGTCAAAGTCCCCAAGGATAGAGAACAGTTTATACAACAGATATGATACTGGATTAAAAGACCCCATGGGAGCTAAGATTCTTCCATTTATCTACTTCTCAGGATTAAATAACAGTGAGTTTTTGTCATAAACAAGGATAACCAAACTGGGTTTAGTTGATACATTAAATTCATCTCTTTTGGGGGAAGTCTATTTTCTTTAACAAGAGATGCATAAATAATTTCTATAAGGTTAAAATATAAGATTTTTTCCTTTCAAATTTCTTAGTAACTGAACCCTACAGAAATCTAGAACATACCAGAGATTAGATTTGAAGAGAATATACATTTAAATGAATATTTAGTAAGTACTGATAACAATAAAAACCAATGGATACTTGCTATACTATGTAACAAGAAATGACAGCAGCTCTAGGGAGGATAGAAAGACAAAAAAAAAAAAGCTTGTGGCTTCCAGGAGCTAACTTACATATAACAGGAGGGTAGGATGGGGAAAACAATATAAACACATGTACCGTAACAAACTATTATAGCTAATAATAGCTAACATTTATGTAGAGCTTGCCATGTGCCAGGCCCTGTGCTAGGTGCTTTGCAATTAGCTTATTTGATCCTCACAACAATCTTGGGAGGTAGGTGCTATTATTATCCCCATTTTACCAATGAGAAGACTGAGGCAGGCAGAGGTTAAGCTACTATTAAGTTTCTGACCTCAAATCTGAATATAAGTCTTCTTGCCTCAAGGCCCAATACTCTACCCACTTCAATATCTAGTTGCTTAGCATTAACTTATTTATTAAGAACTTTTTATCAGCTTTAGTGATAGCCTAGACCAGTGGGTCAAACTCCAATAGAAACAGATCCCTTCCAGCCTCATATTGACTTATAAAATAACAAATTAACATTATCTGTGTTGTATTGTATTTTTTTTTATTTTGTTAAGCATTTTCCAATTACATTTTAATTTGGTTCTTTGGGAATTTGGATGGGAATTTGACTCCTCTGGTCTATACTATCAAATTCAGTGCTTCCCTCTCTGAATGAATGGATTGAGCTGCCAGGGGATAAAGTTAACGGATGATAATGCCTCTCTAGTACAAAGAGAATTTTTTTTTTACTATTACTTATAAAGGAAATATTTAAATGGTTTTTCCTAGTCCAGATAATGAATATAATCATAAGTTTTGTCTTTCACTCACAGCATTCAGCAAGAGCATATACTATCAGAGCAAGGCATTGGGGTCTTCTTCCCCACTGAGGCTATTTGTACCATGAAGGGCCCCAGCAGTTTGCATTTGTTTCCATTGTAAGTGGAGGGAAGGGAGCCCCCGAGACCTTGTGATTTTGAGGAGACTTGAACTTCCAGGTTAGATTTTGCAACCGGTCCAGCATCGAAGCCCCAAGAAGCAAAGGGTAACCTTCTGGACTCGAGTCAGTGAAGGTGGAAATGAGGACTCATTAAGCAGTGAGATCAATGTTATGTGGAAACTAGGCTAACTTGTGCCTGCTGAGGCTGAGGGGCCATGGGGGGAAGTATGCCTCTCAGGGACGAGGGGAAGTGTTTATGCCTTTGCTCCTTCTATAACTTTGAAGTAAATATTCCTTTATGAAAGTTAGATGATGTTAAATAGTTAAATGGAACTGGGATGCTGGTAGCTGGTCCTTAACAATGGGGAAAAATAGCTGGTAGGGCCTCAGACTGATGACAATAGAGAAAAGACATCCCCTAAACCATCAGACTATCCTAAGATCTTGGGGGGCAGATGTATCAGAGCTGGCCTTGAGACATCTCTACCACATGAGTGTGCTCATCCTCAGCTTCTCATGAAATGTCTGTCTTATTTATCCATGGCAAGCCAACACATTTGCTCTTGCCTAAGACTGATTCAGGGTCATGGCTAGGAACTGAGGCTGAGAGTGAAGAAGCCCAAGTTTTGCTGTTGATGGATAACCCGTGTGGCTACGGGAAAAATGATTCGTTGTCCATATGCATCAGTGGAGGGAGTATTCACACCAGCAGAGTCCAGATGAAGAAAGACCGAAGCCAAAAAGAAAAAAAAAACACCTTTAAAGAAAAGTGGGGGTAGGGAATCAAAGTGGTTGTATGAATTAAACAAAACAAAAATATAAATGTTATTGGGATGTTTGTCACTGTCTCCCATGACCTGGGGCAGGGGATGTTTGTTCCACCCACAGAAGAGACTCAGGGATTTAAGTTTAGTCTTGGGGGAAGTTGATCCCTAAAAGAGAAAAGATCATACATTTTCTTTGGCTATCTGGCTCATTGCACTCTCTCCTAGAGGTAAAATCTTTTAGGTATGGTTTATGTTTAATGTCTTCACTCAAAAGGAATTAATAGGATGCTTTTTAGGAAAAAAATGCTCACTATACAAAAAGTAATCAATTTTGGGTTTTTCTTGGGCAGCTAGGTGACACAGTGGATGGAATACTGGCCCTGGAGTCAGGAGGACTCATCTTCCTGAATTAAAATCTGGCTTCAGATACTTACTAGCTGTGTGGCCCTGGGCAAGTCACTTAACCTTGTTTGCTTCGGTTTCCTCATCTGTAAAATGAGCTGGAGAAGGAAATGGCAAACCACTGCGATATCTTTGCCAAGAGAACACCAGATGAGGTCACAAAGAGTTAGATATGACTGAACAACAACAGTTCAGATAAAAGTACTTAACACATGAAACAGTAACCCCAATCACCTCTATTTTTATTCTTTTGGAGTAGGTAAAGACTCCCGGGAGTTTTGTAGGATTGCTGAACTGATATTTCATATTTGCCTCAGATTTGTACTGTCCAAGCAACTCCAAAAATCCAAATCTTCTGTTCACGCTTGAGCTTTCTTAAATTCACCTACCTTTAGTATTACCTTGGCATTGGCCATCTTCTCTCATGAGAGAGGTGTGTGGTTGTTTATAGGAAACACTTTCTGCTGGGCAATCCTGACTCAAGAACTCTGGACCTCTTGAACTCACCAGGTCTCCCGCAAGATTGGAAATATCTACCTGGAAAGATCACTGTTTAGGGAAAGAAACACAAAGCATGAGAAGCAGCCGAGGACCCTACATCTTGTTTCAGACTCCTTTAGGCTAGAACAAGTTGTTTGTTAATTGCCATGAGCTTGAAATCTTCCCCACCCCACCACCACCTATGTTGCAACATCAACCCTAGATGTATCCCAAAAGGAGAGAAAGGAGAGAGGAATCTCACAGCTCTTATACTCTACTACAGAGGCTACTGTTTCTGTCTGAGTCACCAAGTGTCTTCCCCCCAGCTCCTAGTCACAAGGACACACAGAGACCAATCTGGAGTCAATGGGTGTACATGGTTCCAAAAATGGACACATCCCTATGCATGCTCCATGGGAGAGCCCCTCTTACATAGCCTTTAATTAGTTATTTAAGGTTATTTTTTTAAATCAGCTCATTCAAATCAGTGCAGGAGTGCAGATAAATTAACTTTAGACTCCAGTTGGATATTCCTTTTTAGTATTCTAGCTTTCATCCCCCCTTCTTTTTTCCGTGATGCACACACATCTGAATAGCATTTTAATAGCTCCAACAGGCTTTCACTAACTGATTTTGAACTTGTCAGCTTGCTGGATAAGAGAACTGTTCATGCTTTCTTTGTTTTGTTGAAATGGCCAGAAGTGTCACAACAGTTTTCTTTTTAGGAAGGAGAGTTTACAGACTAATTTGAAAGCTATAATCGCCAACCCTGTAGAGAGCATTTCTAAAATGGTTATCTCAAGCATGATTAACAAAGAGATTCCCTCCTGCTGACAGTGAGATTTCTGAGGTTATCATAGCAGAGGAATAACATTGCTTTCTTATTTATGTTGTACCTGTCTCTAAGGAGTTTTAAGTGTCTCACAGACACTACCTAATTAGTCTCCTCAACAGCCCTACATGTAGTGCAGGAATCTTCTTATTTTAAGAAGATTCTGAGATGCTTTCTTGAGCATTATGTAATAAATTTATAACACCTGCATTTTTATTACTTTTAGGAGGAAAGAAAATTACTTACAATGTTTTTTTTTGGGGGGGAACAAAATCTATAATTTAATTGGTCTAGGGGAATTAACAAAAAAAGAAAAGGGAAAAGGGAGAAGAAGAAGAAAAAACCTTGTAAAGATGGGGTTGATACGGGGCCATGAACAGTAAGGCATGAAGAAAATAAGTCTTGTGAGTGAGAAACCTTGGTTATACTTTTTAAAATAATATTTATTAAACTTCCTTACTCTAGACAAGAACTTGGGCTGTGTCTATATATACAAACTAATTTGGTGGGCAAGAAAAAAATTAACAGATTGAATTTCATTGAATAATTGTGTAGTTATGTAAAGCCATTGACACAAATGTTTCAGTCAAAACATTTTTAGTTCCCCCGTTCCCTGTAACCACCATTTACACAGCTGCAACAAAAAATATTATCTTTTGGCAGAAGGACCTTTTTTTTTCAAACTGAAAACATTTGCTATAGATATCAGTTTCCCCATCTGCAAAATCAGGGGATTGGATGCTGTAAGGTTCCTTCCTTCCTAATATCCTATAATTTTTTTATTCTCTATCCTACTTTCTTGGGTTCTCTGTAAATTATGGAGTCTGAGAGAACATCCTGGAAGTGCTCGCATGCTTACAATTTAGTGCAGGTTCTTTAAGAAGCCATCAATTCCCTTGACAAACTGCCACCTTAGTAGAGTTTTCCATGCTTGTTAATCTTTTTAAGCCACTGGATAATTGAGGAGGCTGAAGGAGTAAAACCTTTAAGCTGGTCTGTCTTTCTGACACGAAGAGACAGGGGACCATAAAGATACAAAATGGAATCTTGCTTTCGGTCAGTGTTTGCTCTGAAGAACTTGTTTTAGTGTCTTAGAAAAAGCCTTGGATTTGGAGGCAGAAGACTTCCTTTCTTTCTTTCTTCCTTTTTCTTTCTTTCTTTCATTCCTCCTTTCTTTCTTTTTCTTTCTTCCTTCCTTTCTTTCTTCCTTTCTTTCTTCCTTTCTTTCTTTTTCTTCCTTCCTTCCTTTCCTTCCTTCCTTCCTTCCTTCCTTCCTTCCTTCCCTCCTTCCCTCCTTCCCTCCTTCCTTCCTTCCTTCCTTCCTTCCTTCCTTCCTTCCTTCCTTCCTCCTTCCTTCCTTCCTTTCTTTCCTTTTCTTCCTTCCTTCCTTTCCTTCCTTCCTTCCTCCTTCCTTCCTTCCTTCCTTCCTTCCTTCTTCCTTCTTTCTTTCCTTCCTTCCTTCCTTCCTTCCTTCCTTCCTTCCTTCCTTCCTTCCTTCCTTTCTTTCTTTCTTTCTAAAAGACTAAATCATCTACAAGGTTGCTTTCAGCTCTAAGTCTGTGCTTCTATAAATCACTTAACATCCCTGAGCCCCAGTTTTTTCATTTGAGAAGTGGGGATAAAATATTTAGAAACCCTATGCTATGGGGTTATGGGAAAGTTCAAATGAGATAATGGGGGGGGGGAAGCACTAAGTAAACCTTAAGATACCATATTAAAGGAAAATATTATTGTTTTATGGACTTATAGGTAGGCTCCTTAACAAAGTGTTCAATTTCACAACATACAAAATAAGCTCTCCTGAGAGGTGTGTTAAAAACAAATATTTGTTTAATAACTTTAAACACATTAAATCATTAAACATGCGATTCTTTGGCACTGTGCTAAGCACTAAGGATACAAAGAAAGGTAAAACCAGCCCTGACCTCAGGAAACTTAGAGTCTGATGGGGGGAAATGGCATGTAAACAACTTGTACATACCTACCAATATACACAGTAGAAATCTCAGAGGGAAGGCTCTGACTGGGAGAGACTGAGGAAACGCTTCTTTCAGAAGGAAAGCTGAAAAATCAAATTCGATCACTTTGGATACTTCAAGGACCTATGTTTTCACCTCTCTTCTTTAAAGCAGATCACAATCTCAGGACAGGGTCTTTAGAGAAGCTAGGTGCTAGGCCTAGAGTCAGGAAGAACTGAGTTCCCATGTAGCTTCAGAAACTTGGTATGTGACCCTGGCCAAATTACTTAACCTCTATCTGTCTCAGTTTCCTCATCTGCAAAATAGGAATAATAATAGTACCTACCTCCAAGGGTTATTGTAAGGATAAAATGAAATGCTATTTGCAAAGCACTTTGCTATATAAATGCTAGCTATTGTTGTTGTTATCTTGGTGATGGGTTATCTGAAGATGAGTTTTGCCCAGTTGGGAGAGAAATGTAGCCCATCTTCAGGTCTGTATTTGAACTTTTTCAGGCATGGTAGAATTCACCCTGTTGGTCTTGCCTTCAAGAACTAAGGGTCAACTCCATGCCACAGGGAGGCATCAGAATAGGGCTTTAGTGGAGTACCTGTATAGAAATCTGAATTTTTCATGTGTCATCGACAACAAGCTAATATATACTATATTACATTATATATAGTACATAAGATACATTATATTACATATACTAATGTTATATAGTAATATAATTATATGCAATATATTACACAATATGTCATTGTTGTTTGTTGACTGGTTTCAGTCATGTCTGACTCTTCATGAATCAATCTGGGGTTTTCTTGGCAAAGATACTGGAGTGGTTTAGCCATTTTCTTCTCCAGCTCATTTTACAGATGAGGAAACTAAAGCAAGCAGGGCTAAGTGATTTTTCCAGGGTCCTACTACTAGTAAGTGTCTGAGGCTGGATTTGAACACAGGTCTATCCTGACTCCAGGTCCAGTGCTCTGGCGACAGAGCCACATCGCTGCACCACATGACATTTTACAACGTAATACATCAGTAGGCACTCACCTACTGATTTGTAAATAAATATCAGTTCACTTATCCCCAAGATTTTGATGGGATGAGGCTCATGATCTGAAGATAGCCATGAGAAGATGTATCTAATTCAAATGAAACCAATCTTAGCAAAGGAGCAGCGGACTATAGCTGTCTGGAGGAAGACGCACACCAAGAAAACGCAGCGGGAAGAAACTTAGGTGAAGACAGAAAAAAGAAAAAAGAAGAAATGGTGTTGTTGTCATAGTAAACTATTGGTGGGTGGTGATCAGAGGTCCATTACAATTTAAAATTCTATCATTTAAAATTAATATAAAATTCTGTCATTCTATCATGCCTAAGGTAACATCTCAATGTAATATTTGAATTAAGTATTCAGGGAAGTATTTTGATGAATAATGAATAAAAGTAAATGTGCACAAATAATTATGAAAGTGTACAAAGTTTTAAAACTCACGTAGGAAGACCTTTGAGGGCGAAGATTTTGTTCTTTATTTAGTAGTATAAAAATACTATACTTAAATCTCTCATGATATAAAGACAAAAACAAAGAAGCTTTACTAAGACTTATCAGTCCCTTGGTGTGTTCTCTAGAATTTTTATATGGGAAAATTTTCCAGGTTACAGAATATTTAAAAGATCAAATTTCAAAATGACGAAATCTCTTGGATAAAGCAAATCTAAAAAAAGCATCAACTGTGTTAGGAACTAGCCAGACCACAGACCTGTTATTGAGTTGGCCGCTTCTTTCCTCTTTAATTGTTGAGTGGAAAATTTCTTCTCATGTCTCTTAAGAAGCAGAATGAAACTTGCTTCTGATTCTCAGCATTAGATGGTTTTCCTCTCTCTCTCTCTCTCTCTCTCTCTCTCTCTCTCTCTCTCTCTCTCTCTCTCTCTCTCTTGTTTTTACTCTTTCTTCTCCTTTCTTTTTCCCTCCTTCCTTTTTTCTTTCTTTTCTTCTTTCTTTTTCCTTCCTTCTATCCTTCCTTCCTGTCTTCCTCCATTTCTTCCTTCCTTTCTCTCTCTCTCTCTCTTTCTCTCTGTCTTTCTTTCTTTCTCTTTCCCTCCCTCCATGTGGAAGAACCAGGAAAAAGGCAAGCAGTATGACAACACCATCTCTACCTATATATAATGAATATATGAATATCAGTGCTGCTCATAGCTTCTCCCCCTTTCTATACCCCCCCCCACCCCTGGTGATTTCTCTTCAGGGGTTTTACTAGAGTGCCATGTTTTC